TGTACTTTCAGGTGTTTGATGGTCATGGTGGCATTGATGCTGCATCATTCACTCAAAAGAATCTCCTAAGCTTTATTGTAGAGGATACACATTTTCCATCGATGGTCAAAAGAGCTATCAGGAATGCTTTTGTTAAAGCTGATTATGCACTGGCTGATACCGAATCACTTGATAATACCTCTGGAACAACTGCTCTGACTGCGCTTATTTTAGGACGGTAAGTGATTGACCTTCTTTTGTGTGGCACATTCATATATTTCTAAAATTTCATCTCTCATAGGAGCTAGATGCATTCATGCTGTGTCTGTCCCAATATTTTTTTAATACAAAATTTGGATCTCCTATATGTCAATGCTTAAGTTCGCAGGGTCTTGATCTATTGATGAGAGCAAAACACTTGATGTATGGATTAGTCATATGTCATGGGTTCAAACCCTTTCAGAGCAAAAAGCCTAGTATTTAAGCGGAGAAGGGTTACCTCTCCTGTGTAGTTTGCGACCTATTGCATAGGAGCGGGGGGTTTACCCCCTGCGCACCCAAAGGGTAGAGCTGTGGGTTTCCATTGTCATGAAAAATTAGTGGAGAAGGGTAGAGGGGCGGGTTCATGATCCATTGAGTGTTCGCACTGTGTGCTATTGGCACTTGGGGATATATTTCTCGATGATCAGAAAAAAAACGTATGTGATGTTTAGCTCAGATACCAGGAGTGTTTTAGTACAGAAGGGAGAAACATCGTTGGAACTTAAAACAAAAAGCTCATCAAATTGGGGAATTTCGAAAAATAAGCAAACGTGGGGTAAAAACTGGAAGAGTCGATTATGATCACAAGTTGTCATTTCTACTGCTTGCTTGAAGAATTTGCTATCCTTACTTTGTAGCCATTCAAAACAAATGGGTATATCTTAATCCACTTTCCGATGGATAACCTAGTTCTAAAAGATTCAAGATTCTACTTTTCCTGGCTTCTTCATTTATGATTTTGGATGAATATATTTTCCTAGTGTGAATAGGACAACAAAACATTGTTAATCAAACCAATCATTACAACAACATACCCATAGAATCCTACAAGTGGGGTCTGAGGAGATCTATGTAGACCTTACTACTACCTTAGTGGGGTATAGAGGTTTTTCGATAGACCTTCGGCTCAAATGAAAAGTTTTCAAAGCAGGATTGTAAGAAAAATATGACAACAAAAATAGCAAGATGTGAGGAAAAACAAAGCAACAGATAGTAATGTACTTTAAAAAGTAAGAAACTACGCGACTACTAAATAATACTGCTAATAAGGAGAAGAGGAGAGGGGGGGGGGGGTCCCAAAAGAAGTGCGACAATACTCGGCAACTATTGACCTTCCATCCTAATTTTTACTCCTCCAAGCCTTTCTATCTAGGGTCATGTCCGCAATAAGTTGAAATTGTGTCAATCTTGTCTAATCACCTCACCCAATTCTTTTTCGGCCTTCCTCTACTCTCCTAACTCATGCTACAACCAACATTTCACACCTCCTTACTGGTGCATCCGTGCATCTCCTCTTCACATTCATTTCAACCTCACTTCCCTTTTTTGTCCATCTTGGAGGCACTCCCACCTTGCCCTGTATAACTTTGTTCCTTATCATATCTCTTCTAATATGTCCACACATCTATTCACGCATCCTCATATCCGCTACCTTTATCTTCTGAACGTGGGAGTACTTAACTAGCCAGTACTCTAAAGCATACAACAATGTTGGTCTAGCCACCACTCTGTAGAACTTACCTTTAAGCCTTGGTCTAGCCAATTGGATTTCATTACTGCCTAATAATGTCTTTGGTCCGTTTGGTAGGAGAGATTTTCTTACTGGCTTTAGCCTCATAACTTTCATTCTTGATATCTAGCATTTTATTCTAATATCTATTTACAACGCCATATAGGAACTTACATAACTCAGTTATGCATCAATTAATTGTTTATTTATTATCCTTTTTCATTTGTTGTGTAGGTAACTTATTTTCATTCCTTTGTTCATGTTGTGGCGATTCACAGGACCATGCTTATTGCTAATGCTGGGGACTCTCGAGCTGTTCTAGGAAAACGAGGAAGAGCGATTGAATTATCAAAAGACCACAAACCAAACACTACTTCTGAAAAATTAAGAATTGAGAAACTAGGGGGAGTCATATATGACGGTTACCTTAATGGCCAACTCTCGGTAGCACGAGCTCTTGGTGACTGGCACATAAAGGGTCCTAAAGGTTCAAAGGGCCCCTTAAGCTCAGAACCAGAATTGGAAGAGTTGATCCTTTCCAAAGAGGATGAGTTCTTGATAATGGGGTGTGACGGCTTATGGGATGTCATGAGTAGCCAGTATGCAGTAACTATCGTGAGGAAGGAGCTCATGCTGCATAATGATCCTGAGAGATGCTCGAAGGAACTTGTCAGGGAGGCACTAAAGCGTAATACTTGTGATAATCTAACAGTGCTTGTGGTTTGCTTCTCTCATGATCCACCCCCGCGAATTGAAATTCCAAGAACACAGAGGAAGAGGAGCATATCAGCTGAAGGATTGGATCTTCTAAAAGGTGTCTTAAGTGACATATAAAGCAGACTTGTCGTATAGATGAATCAACCATTGCCAGGGATTTTTCTGAGTTTTCTGCTGTCCATGTCAATGGTGGATACAAAAACAAAATGCTTCCAACAACTTAGTTTTGATTTATTCAGTTGTCACTGTAACTATCCTTGGCTGCTCTTCATAATAACATTCATATGCACACCAAACGGTTCCATCTCACTAACCATTTAAGTTGATTTGTAACAATAGGTATTTATTCGTAGCAAATTTTATATCTCTGCTTCCACGAGGTAATAGTAAATTCTACGTACACTCTACCCTCCTCAAATCCCACTTGTGTGGGGTCAGAATATGTTGTTGTTATTATTGTTGTAGTGCATATTACTTAAATCCTTATTCTTCTGCAACAAAAATTATGTAACCAAAAGAGGAAAGAGTTAAAGTTTCTCTCATATCGATCCTATAAGTCGTTGCCCCTTAGCGCATCGTAGGAAATGTAACGCGCGACCTTATGCTTTGATAAATATTTCTAACAAAATAACAAAATTTTAGGAAAATATCAGATTTAATGTGATGTTATCCACAAGGAAAAACTATATATTATAATTTCAGGTTAGTTGGTGTAGCATTAGCATGAATATGTTATTATTCAATTTATAACTTCATGTTCTTTCTTAAATTTCTTCCATTTATCTTAAAAATCTTTACTTTCTTTAATGTTTCTTCATATTTCATATTTTTAATTGATTTCCTAGATGATTCAGCTTGATGTATTTATTGTTAATTTAGTTTTCATTTTCAGGACTTCTATGAATATTGAAATATACAAATTGAGAACAAATTTTAGTCAAAGAAGTATGTATTTTTATGAGAAAAGACATAAACTCACAACTGAAGTTGTCCCGTATTTTCATAAAGACACCTTAATTTTGAAAGTGTCCTATCACCCGACAAAACTTTTTAATATCTTTGTAAATGAGTCATTTTGACCCATTCTCTATTCTGCGTTGTAACCACGCACATGAGGAGCGTGATGTAATGTTTTAAATGTCATTAACCAGTTTAGAAGTGCCACGTGTCACTTTATTTCTCTATCATTAAATATTTTATTAATTTACATCATCTTCCCCAAATTAAAACTCAAAAGAGCCATTGATAACCCACTTTTGATGATTTCATCTTCTTTATTTTTTCCAAAACAAGATCAACATTGGTACTCTCTTTGACGAATTCATCATCTTCCCGAAACGCAATATGATAAGAATTCATTTTCTCTTTTAATTTTCAGTAAAACAATTTTTTTTCTTCTGGGTCACTTAAAGTTTCAGATTCAATTTCGTTAAAGAAAATAATGAATGATAAAAGAGTCGGAGAAACAATGCTAAACTGAAAATACACCACTCAGAAAGACAATGTAACAAAGAAAAAGGTCGAGATTTAGATGATTTATTAATCTTCTTTCTCCTATCGTATGCTACATGAGCTCTCTCCTTCCTCTTCCTCTTGTTCTCGAGTTCCTTGATTTTATCAAAAATGGCTCCATCCAACCTCTGATGAAAGCTTCCCCAAGAGAAGCTTGGCTCTCTTCTTAATCTTACTTTTGTGCAGCTTGGAGACTCAATACCTTTTAAGCATCAAGAATAACCATCTTCTTAATCTTGTCATATTAGGGTGGAACACCCTCATAAACCTTGTGATTAGATTTTGATCGATAATATCAAATTCAATTTCTTGTTCCTCCAAGAATCTTGAAAGAGAAAGAAGAAAATATCAAGAACTTGGAAAGTTGAAAAATAACAAAGACAAAAAGATTTTTCTACTTTAGTAAAGAATCGGGTCGGGCTAAATGGGTTGAAAAGAGTGAGCATCACGCGCGTCAACCCAGATGAAGGAATGAGTCAAAATGACCCATTTACGAAGATATTAAAAAGTTATGTGGGGTGATAGGACACTTTCAAAGTTAAGATGTCTTTATAAAAATACGTAACAACTTCAGTGGTGACTTTATGTCTTTTCTCAGTTTTTATTAATAACTTAATTTTTTTTTAATGAGATGATCATGTACTTGATTATAGTGCAAACGTAAATAAGAAGTTTGGATTCAAATTTGATTATCATGCTTTAATAGTATTACAGAAATGACCATGTATTTAACTCATAAAAATACAAATTTGTATGTCAAGAACATATTGAAAATATAATTGATTAATGAAAACATTATTCTTTTGAACTTTAAGTTTTAACTGAGATGAACACACCCTTTAACATAACATATAAACTATAAAATCAAACCAGTAAACTGGTCAGAAACTACTAACAACTTTCATGGTATATATATATGATGAATTACACCAAATATCACATTACTCAAAACCATAAATACTAGAAAAAACATCCTATTTTATTTTATAAAATTGGGATGGGAAATGGTGAGCAGACTACAAGATGGGAATCAGACCTTAAAATAAAAATTTACTTAGTCCTACGTACTTAAATACTATGACATGATTAAAATCTAATCATTGAGAACACCTTCTCCATATGTTTAGCCTTGAGATCAATATACTCTTTCACCTTCACATTTCTATATTTTGGTACAACACCAACATTATCCTTAGAAGAAACTAATGGAACAATCACAGAATCAACTTGAGGTCCAAAAAAATAAGCCAGAGATACTCTATGCTTAGTTTGATCCACTAGAACTCGATGATAAACCGATGGAAATTCTCCATTGGAGAGTATATGAAGAAGATCACCTACGTTAACAATGAGGGCATCGTTGGAAACTGGAGTAATTGAAGTCCATCCTAGGTCTTTTTTCAAGATTTGAAGACCCTTTGTGTTATTTGTTTGATGGAGTATTGTTAGGAATAACGAATCTGTGTGAGGAGCTAACCCTAATGCATGGTTAGGGTTAGGGCAACATGGATATGAATTCAGTTGTAAAGCTCCTGTAGATTCAAATGACTTAATTGAATGTTCTTGAGATGGTTGTAAGTAATTGAGGATAAGCATCCAGAGTTGGAAGGATAGAGCTTTCATCTTCTTTTGATAATCTCCCATCACATCACTACAAAGACCAAAACAAATAAAGAATAATAATATATAACTTTCAGCGTCTCAAATTATTTATCGTGATTTTTGAAAGTAATATCAACTCAAATTATCTTAAGTTTATGTTTAATATGAGAGACATATAATTATTGCGTAGAATTATTTACTAAATAACTTGATTATATAAATATATTTTTTGTATTGTCAATGTGTTCACTTAAACTGATCATTTTTGTATGCATTAATTCACATAACATCAATAATCCATACGTACTTACCAAAATTTTTTATAGTCATGTGGCCAAAGTTCCTTAGCATGATCAAGTGGTGAATCCATAATGGTGAACCCTTCATGCCACATGAACTTGGAGAAAAATGGCGTAATTCGAGCTGTGCCATAGCCGGTGGCGCCAGTAGTCGATCTCACGACCTTTACCTTCTCTTTTGCTGGCAAGGCAAATAGTCGTCTTGCCTGAGATTCAACTTCATCAAAAAGTTCTAAAGAAATCCCATGATTAACAACTTGAAATATCCCCCATGTTTTGCATGCATGGCCTATAAGTTCCACAACATTAGGGGCTAAAAGATCAATTATTGGTATAGTAGGTTTTTTTTCATCATGACTAATTGGGGAATTATTGATATTAGGCCATAAATGAGAGTTTGGAACTTCTTGGATGGAATGAAAATCTATAGGAAGAATGTGTTGAAGGCGCAGAGGGTTTTCTTTGAAAGATTCTTCAAGAGTACTAGAAGTAGCCATATTTTGGACTTTGAAGAAAAAACATATGTTGTATTGATATGTATATAGTTTTTCTTGGAATATATATAGTGTAGGAAATATAACTTTTTACACATGGATTTGGTTGGTCTTTTTTGGAATATGTGTTGTCTATGATTAGGTTTTCAGGTTAAGCTATCATTTAATCATACATTTTGAACCATATATTTAATTTTTTTTCTTTAAATAGCTGTTTCATCTTGATTTGAATCAGATATTTAAATTTTTTCTTTAAACATATATTTGATTTTGATTTTGGATGTACCATTTAAATTTACTTAAATATTTTTCCGTAAATGTTTTTATTAGGCCATGAAATTCGATCTTCAAATATTTTTATATCCCCCAAAAGAGTTCACTTTTGGGTTTTTGAGATTTCCATTCACAAAAATATAATTTATATTCTAAATATAATGTACGTCCAAATACAACTTTTCAAAAACAACGTCAAAACTTAAACTTTCAAGTGTTTTCTTTAAATATATGTTTGACTTAGATTTTGGATGTACCATTTAAATTTTTTCTTTAAATATTATTTTGGATGTACCATTTAAATTTTTTCTTCAAATATCCATTAGACTTAAACACTCTTAAACATTTATACTTAGATGAATCAATTAGGCCATGAATTCGATCCCCCCCAAAAGAGTTCTTTTTTGGGTTTTCAAAATTTCCATTCATAAAATTTAATTTTTATTACATATAATGTATGTCCAGATACAACTTTCCAAAAATCACGTCAAAACTTAAACTTTTAAGTTTTAAAATCAACTTCAAAGTTTATGATCGCATCAGAGCAAAAGATGGGGTTAAGGGGGGGAGTCGGGTATCGGAAAACTATATATACATATAGCTCAGCATCGTGCTTTTGATGATCTAAGCTTATTATATAACTAGTGAATTTGATCGCTCTACGCGTGATTTTAAATTTTTTATATAAATTGTGTTTGTATATTTCTAATCAAATTTACGTATAAATTATACTTCCATTTCAATTATTTCTTTAAAAGATCTTTAATTTATATATTATTTATTATTTATAATCACTTAAAAGTTTTTAATCTTCTGTAGGTATTCGTATAATAAACTTATAAGTGAAAGAAAAAAATAATTATATTTCTTAATAGAAAGTAGAGAAAGAAAAGAATTTCAAGAAATTTTGTATATATTTTGAGAATATATATAAAATCATTTTTAAACTTATTTTTAAAAAAAAATGAAGAACCACAAATACATATACAAATATACTTATCAAAAAAAGAAGAAAAAAAGAAGAACCACAAAGTATATTGTCTATATCGATTTTTCGAATATTGAGACTAAATGAATCATATGAAATTGGAGAAAAACATCATTATACTATCTTTTTTTTTAAATAAACCAATAAATATTATAAATTATCTTACAAAATTTTTAAAAGTATTGAATTTGACAATCTCTATATGTATTTGGAGCTTGTTTTCTTTAGGGTGTTAGCCTCTTCATCCTCTCTCTTATAATTGATTTATCATATGCTTGTATTCCATTTAATGTAGTATATATTGTTACTTATGTTTGATTGAACATTGTTTGGTACAATAAAAAAAGTTGCAAAATATGTATGAATTATTTCAACTTCAGTGTAACAATATATTTGTAATAAAAAGTTAAATTTTGCCTCTATTGTTAAATCAAAGATACATAAAAATAGCTCTCAAAATTACAATGTCAATTAAGAAGTAGAATAATGTTTATGATTTTGTAGAGTATATACACTTCCGATCCCATTTTATTTTGTTTCTTATATTTTGTTTGAGAGTTAATTTATATGAACTTTCACCCTTATTATATTTAATATGTGTTTTTTTAATCATAATAATGTGAGAAACATTGAATCTTATAGTTTTTTTCGTACAAATTTAAAAATATTTAAATTTTAATTCTAAAATAGTGAACTAATCTAATTCAATTGAGCGTTGAAAATAGTTAAACTAACCATAAAAAGGTAAAATATGATAAGTAAAATGAACGGAAGCAGTAATTACTTTAGAATTTAACATTGAGATAGATGTTATAGGTCGAATATATGAGACTCATTGATGTAGATTATAACACATGATACCAAAATTTATCAAATATTGAGTAAAAAATATTTTAATAAAGAGATTCCAAAGTAGTTCTCAACCAAAAGAATACATCAATTATTTAGTAATTGAAATATATCATGAGACTCCTTGATTTATCAAAATATCAAGATTTGAATGTTGAGTAAGAATTAATAAAGAAATTATAAAATAGTTCTCAATCAAAACAATACATACCTTAATTTGGCCGTAAGAATGAATTCATTAAATTTTATCAAAATAGAATATTTAATATCACATGAATTTCTCAAGATAAAGTATGAAAGATGCAAATTAAAAATAAAATACTGTAAATCTGCAAAATAAAAATTGATATTATTCCTTTGAGTTATAGCACGTAATCCTACCCCAATTTAGTATAAAATAATATTAAGAAAATATAAAGAAAATATATAAACAAACTTAATATACATATCAAACAATTTTTATTATTTTTTTACTTTTTGTGTGTGTTTAAAATTAGACATTTTAACCTTTAGGCATAAAGGCAACGACTTGCAAAAGCAAAGCTTCACAATCACAAAAATAAATAAGGCATATAAAAGAACATAAAGAAACACATACACAAGACATTAAATATATTAATTGTTCAAAATAATTGGATTATAATTATTGTTCAATATTCACCCTTGAAAAAATGAGTAAAACGGATGTAAAGTGTAAAATCTAAAATGTATCAATTATTTAGTTTAAATAATAATGAATTTTGATCTTTCTAAATTATTGTAAGTGATGTATAATTTGTAGGTTTTTAAATAAATTATATATACGTAAAAAATTAAGAAAATGTCAAAAATTTAGAAAATAAATAAATGTCATTCTTGACTTTAGAAGTATGCCACATCACCTCTCCTACGATAACATTATAAGAAGAAAGTTGAAAACAGAAAATCAAATAACACATTTGTAGTTTACTTTTTTGTACATATAATTTAATAGAGAAAAAGCTTTATATTTAAAATTTGTGATGAACTTTAAATAATAGACTACTTACAAAAACTAACAAAAAATCTTAAGAACCTCAACTAATATATATAAAATTAGGGAAGCAAAATAAGAAGTTCGACTCCATATGTACCAATCAGTAACTAATAACAGATAGTATTAAATAATATTAGTATTTATTGTGTACTAATCCTAGTCCTATTAGGATTAGTACTCCTTAATCCTAGTCCTATTAGGATTAGTACTCCTTCCTATATCCCCTATATATATCTCCCATGTATTCCCTTATTAGGTTAACACTTCAATACAATCAATATTCTTTTCATGGTATCAGAGCCATGAAAATATTTTAAAAAACATTCAAACAAAAATATTTAACAATAATATCTTAAATCGTTGAGATGATAGCAATTTTCTTCATATGTAATAACAAACTACTTGCAAAAAATAAAACAAAATCTTAAGCACTTCAACTAATATATATAAAATTAGGGAAGCAACATTAAACTTGTTACTCATCATGTGGAGGATAAGAACATTTATTTAGTCTCGAATCTTGATTATCTTGCGCTCCTCTAACATGCTCCTTTGAACATATACCTGCAAAATAAGAATTTCGACTCCATATGTTGGAACCAATCAGTACATATAAAAACTGAAAAATGAAAATTTGAAGAAAAAAAATTCAAAAAAAATATTTAACCATAATATCCTAAATCATTGAGATGATAGCAACTTTTGTCATATGTAACATGTATTTTGGATACTTATATAGTGATAGATGAAGTCATGAGAATTAAATATAAGGAAGATAAAAAATTATTTTATTTTGTAGAATAGCCCTTTAGGGGGAGTTATTAGAGGATTAATGATAGCCTTTTGAGTTTCATAAACTTATTTTTTTTTAAATGAGAAATAAAGAAGAGTTAATGAGGGAGGTATGATTAAAAAATACAATTTTAAAGTGATTTTTAACCTAGCATATAAATAAAGAATAAATTTTTAAAAAATTTAAAAAAAGATAAATACGAATGGTGGCCATTGAGATTGAGATTTGCCACATCACCTAATTTTTTATTTAGCTTTATTATATATATATATTTTTATTTTTTTAAAATAATAAAAATAGAAGGTATAAATTATAATAACAATAAAAACTAAAAAAATTATAATAATATAAACTTAAAAATAATATGCAGAAAACAGACATTAGGAAAAAAATATTATAAAAATATTTTTTTTACATTTGAGGCAATATGGTAGCCTTTTGAAATTCCTTCATTTAAAGAAGGTGTAATTATCATTAAATAACTAATCAATAGTAAAATATATATACACATAAAATTATAAGAAATAATTTTAAAAGCCATATTTTTTTTAAAAAATAGAAAATATTTTTCTGATCATTGAGGCATGCCACATAGGCGGAATGAAGATCCTCATATATATATATATATATATATATATATATATATATATATATATTGATTAGGGAACTTTTACATAAATAACTTATTTTATTTGATTGATTACACTTTTAAGTATTACTATATTATCATATATGACATAATTTTAGTTTTAACAACCATTTGATATAAATTTCTATAAGTATCTATATTAGGTGAAGTTCTAAAAATTTGTATTAAAGTTTTATCAAAACAATATTAAATATAAACAATCAATGGTCTAGTGGTGGTGATTAATGTCAACATCTCAACCCATTGTGATTGACACCCAACTAACCGTTTGTGGGAGAATTAGTATTACAACCCAAACTAAGCTACTAACTAAAATTGAGACAATTAAGTTACGAAAAAAAGTTAATTAACTACACAAATGCGGAATTAAATATCTAGAACCTTATAGTAATTGTACCAAAAATCTACTAACGACAAGTCTAAGAACAAGAGGTACAACCTCGAAACTAAACAACACCTTAAATAATAGTTTGAGTCTGAAGAGAATGGACTTAAACAAAGAATTCAAGGCAGCCCTGAAGAAC